CCTAAATAAACCCTAAATAAACCCTATAAACCCTAAATAAACCCTAAATAAACCCTATAAGCCCTATTAGCCCAAAAACTCTTGGAGCTCAAATAAAACGGCTCACGCCAGGTCCAAGGCCGCCCTCACGAGCTGCAACGTGTGGCTTGGAAAGAACCCGGTTTTTGCATCGCCCTACGAGTGAGTTTAGGGTTTAGGGTGTATGGTTTAGGGTTTAGGGCTTAGCTTAGGGTTTAGGGTTAGGGTTTAGGGTTTAGGATTTAGCTTAGGGTTTAGGGTTAGGGTTTAGGGTTTAGGCCTACGAGAAGATACCGTCCTTCGGCGAGGTTCTCGTTCCAGCTGGAAGCCCGCAGGGCGCAGCACCTGCCCAGTGTCGCCAACAAGGCGATCTGGGAGCCCGTTCGAGCCCAAGATTGTGGATACTCCTCAATTCAAAGAAAATAGCAGAATCTGAGGCCGATGGTATGATAGCCGTCAAGAGATCTCAACTTTTGAAGCATGCTGGCTAATGCCAGAGTTCTTTGCAATGCCGGAATTTCAGAGCTGCCGTCAGATCTTATATACAGTTTACTATGAATATACGCATGAATACAAATAGTAATATCAATCTCGGTGCTAAGGCCAGCGAAGAACTACCTGCCACCTACAGAAGAATTTCTTCGAGCATATTCAATGCAACAAGCCGCAGGAGGCCGGACAGCTTGCCGGTATCAAAGTTACAAGCGAGCGGAGGTTTAGGGTTTAGGGTTTAGGGTTTAGGGTGTTGCAGCTGTGACAATAATGCTAATGTTAGCACTAATACTACTATCCGCATTCATATACATATGGTTCAGAGCAGTACTACCAGTATGAATATCATTCACATTTCTAGTTGCATTTCCATAATCGATGTTATTTTGTGTTCTATTCTGTTCTGTGTTTATTGAACCTATGCTACATTTAAAGGATAATTTGTTCTATTTTTCTATGTGATTTTATATTCTATTGAGTTCTATTGTATTATGCTACGATATGTGGCTGGTGCTTGTGGATAGCAAGAGGCCCTTCTTCGAGTCGGCCCTCTACAGTGGCGAGCCTAGAGTGCACAGCAGCCTTCATACGCGGCAGCGCACCAGCTATCATATTATTTTCTATTGTTATCATTATGGTTATTATCCCCACAGCAATAAGCGGCACCTTTCCCCTGCCAATGCTCACTTTGAGGCAACCACTACATCGCGGCCTCCGCGGTCTTTGCCCGAGTGCACTGGTTTAGTTCATTATGAGCAGGTCAGTTCAATTGCCAGTACTGCCATTCATCGAAGTCTACATGGTCATCTCCGTGTGACTACCGGCTCGAGTGCTCTAGGCCGAGCACGGCTTGCTCAGCGCTGTCGCGCTGCGGCTGTGCGAGACCCTTCTCGGCGGTGTCGAGGCAGCTTGTCTATCCGACCGCTTCGGCCTGCTTCGGCTGCATCCCTGTCCCTGCATTTGCGCATCCTGTTGCCTAAACCCTAAACCCTAAACTCTAAACCCTAATTGTTGCTGGCCTTCGGAGAGCCGCGGACTTGGCTCCGAGAGGCGTACGCTTCGGGGAGCGGAGACCCGAGGCCACGTCTCCGCTCCCCGTACCTCCTCCCATCGGATGCAGGCGCGCGAGGGTCTTAGGCCCTTTCGGCCCATCTTAGGCCCCTTTTTGCATATTTCATGGAAGAGCATCAAGCAACCAAGCGGTCGCACGGCGACAGGTTCTGATCTGAGTCCAGCACCACGGCACTTTCAAGAGCGAGCCAGGACCTCCAAGCGCCAAAGGCGCTCTGCAAATCAGGAGATGCCAGTGGAACCTAGCGGTCTGGTCTATTGTGTGTTTCCACGTCTTCATTTGCATCTTCAGAGAGGCTGGAGATCCTTGGCTCTTAGGTTTGTGCCTTCGTGATGCAAACTGGCCGTCGCTAACTTTGCTGACCTGGCCTCACGCTCGAGAGAAGAAAATGCTGGCTGAAACCCTGGGACTGCCCTGTGTGGTATAGGGCTCATAGGGTCAGCCTCGAGCCCGAAGTACATGTACATGGCTCTTCAGGTGCCGACATCTTCGTGTATCGCTCGAACCTCGCTCAGCGATAAGCATGGGGGAAGCACTGTCTTAAGAGCACCCGAGCAGATTTCCTCGTTGAAGCCTTTCTTCTCTGTCTGCCTAGTTTGCAAAGGTCGCTGCCGACAAACTTCGGTGGCGTCCTCATTTTCGTGGATGGCGAGGGGAGCCCGGCGGATTCTCTGCAAGAGGCACGCCACACAGACAAGTCACTAAGTTCTCTGCCGCTGACGGGTGATGATGTCGCGGACGTCCTGTTTGCAGGAGCTGCTGCAGTCGTACCCGGCATCGATCGCCTGGAATCCAAGCGAGTACGCTGTGACACCTTTGTCTAACCTCTGGCCATGAAAAACATCCGAAGAAGAAGTGCTGCCGCCAAGAGGCATGAATTCAGATAGGTCTCATGTGTCCGGTGCAACAGCTTTGCTATGTCATGCTGTCATGCTTACAGCTATATAATCCCGAAGCTACGCTCTCGATGCCCCCCCCAAATCCATGCAAGTGGATCCTCCAGGTTTTACTGGTACAGAGTATGACGGATATGTTGAGACTAGATAGCAGTATGATGAGTTTTCCTTATGCGTGTAGCACTACAACAACATGCAGCATCAGCCGTGCTCGTGATGACTGGACAGATCACGAGAGCCACAAGAACCATCCGTTTACCAGCACTGCCACCACAGTGCATGCAAAAACCACGAAGCCAACAATTCACGAATCGAAGTGATACTAGCCGGAATGCTTACACTGGCAGAGGGCATGTGAACAATCGAAGCAGACAGAGCGATGGTGAAAGCAAATGCAAGACTATATCACAGAGGCATCATGGCACGATTAGGAGCAGCAACCAGCTCAAGAGCAGTGATGTTAAATCGTAAGCTTCAGGTCGTTGGGCCTTTACCTGCTGGTGGTGACTCTGTCTTCTTTCCGGTGCCCTATGCGTGCCGTCCTCGGCGGCTGCCTCGAGATAGGAAAGGAACAAGACGAGTAGTGAGATGACGCTGTTCTGATGAGCATGACATGTAGCAGTTTGTTCTTTCGATCCAGGCTAAATTATTGCCGGATGTGGGATGTGCTTTTGCCTTTGTGACAGGTCTACCTCTTTTGCATCGCGCAGCGTTGCGACACCAAATAGTTTGCTTTTGCCAAGACCAGTGAACCTGGAGGCGTGTCGGTGCTTCCCTTGCGGAAAGCTGGTCTCTTGTAGCACAGTCTTCACACTGCAAAAACTCCACTGTGCAAGGATCGACCTGGCTTTGCTGCGTACCTGGTGTTTAAATGCTATCCTCACAGCCTCCACCTGAGCCTCGCTCCTTGCGTCATCGCATCCTCCGTGCTTCTTTTGCCTGGGTGCTTTGTTGCAAGGAGAACGTTTCTTCAGACTGCTGGATGCGAGAGGACGCGAAGCTGGCCTGGGCCCAGTGGAGGCCGGCCCGCGACCTCCGCCGCTTCGAGTCGCCTTAGAGACGGAGCTTCTTCGTGTCGTGGCTCAGACCCTATCTCGCTGTGGCGATGCCGGCGAAATAGATCGAACGTGCTGGTGCTCAGAAGTCACGGTCCGGTGCAGAAGCAGCCACACATTCAAACCGCGGTCCATGTGGCAGGGAGCCTTGCACATGGTGTGCACCTGCATGCAGAGGTCACAAAGATATGCTGAGACCTACATGGACGCCGCGTGCCCGGTCGGCCTGAGAACAGTCTTAGTATATAGTGTTGTGTAGTAATATAGTATAGTATAGTATAGTATAGCATAGTATAGTATAGTATAGTATAGTATAGTACTTGCAGCTCTGCGTCCGGCACCTTTGGGCAGGCTTGCATTGTAGGGAGCAGGTTCAGGGTTTGGGCCAAGCCCAGCCCGAATCCCAGCGTTCGACATGCAACCCCAAAGGACGCTGCAGATCTCTTCCGACGATTTCGGTTCGCACTGGTCTTCGAGAACAAGATTCAAACAAGGCTCGGGTATGCATGTCCTGCTTTGGAGGTGCATGGTCTACCATGATATACCATGGTACATAGGCGCAGATGATTACAGACTAAGGCACAAAGCCACATACGGCAATACTCACGACCTGGTCTTGGATCGAGGTACGTGACCGAGAAAATTGTGAACGCCTTCGTTGCTGGAGTCCAATCCCCAACCTCTGATTGGCGTTCTTTTACAGGATCTTATGACCAGCCTGTCGGAAGGCCGTTCCGATTTACTGGGGATCCGACTTTGCAAGCCCCTGATCGAGGGGCCATGTGTCGACTTGAGAAGAGGTGCGAATCGAACTTTTTCGATCCTTGCGCAACCAAGGTCGCTGAATTGTTCAATCCCGATGCCATGATCTGGGTGAACTCCTTCGAATCCTTCGAGGCAGTGTGCTGCATGCGAGGTGCCACGAGTAACTCTGAGTTTGCGGTGAAGGCGGCCGTGGAGCACGTCATCCGCGTGGCTTTGGAACCAGAGCTATACGCAGCTTATGCTTCAGCACCTCCCATCAGGCCAGCAAAGAAAGGCCCCCGGTCGCAGCTGCCACTGTGGAGCTTGCAGGAATACGTCTGCCGGTCGATGGTACTTTTCCTGGCATCGCGATGTTGTATTCTCAGCTTCAATGTCACGTTGAAAGTACCTGAGTGAGTGCAACTTGAGCGGCTGAAACCGGTGGGGGCAAAAGGCTGCTGAAGGGTTGGCAGGTTCTGAGTGTCTTGTGTCATATGGAGAGTGACATACAATCTAGAAGAAACACAGTTTTCAACTTCAGTCAATATTTCGAGTTCGATAGTAGGTTTTAAGTTTTCCGTGTTGGGCACGATCCGATCCTGCCATAGCTGATCACGTCGCTGCCTCATGGATGGCTTAAGGCACCACCTCCGGATGGCGAAGTGCCCACGCTGCGCGAGGAGGGCATGAACCAAATAGGGAATCTGAGGCATATTGAAAGGATCACGACGCATCACTCACAGGAGCTTGCAGCCGCGGCTATGAAGATGCATGTAGCTGGGCTGGACGGTCGGGTCCCCAGGAAGCTGTCTTAACCCGGTCTCTGGAGGGCTTGAATTGGGCAGGCAGCTTGCAAGCAGTGGAACGGCGCCCATTCGACTATGCCGAGACCTTCCCCTCTTGACTCCTTCAAGACTGGAGCCTTCAAAGGCTCTTTCAGGAAGCTCGTTGCAAAATGTTGCAATTGGAGGGCCTCAGACTTCCAGTCGTTGACAGCAAGTTCTGCAAGCCTGCAGCGAACTCCACAAGCTGAATGAGACCTTCTGGAGAGCGATTGCTTGCTGAGTAGCTTGCACATGCTTTTGTGCCGTGGCCTACTCGCTGCAAGAAGATGACCTAGACACTCGCACACAGACACAAACAGTTACTTCGAAGGTGTCCCATGAGCGAGTGTAAGCCCCATCGGACTCATGAACTCATGCTGCACTTGTGTAGCAACCGACTCCTTAGTCCCCAAGCCCAAAGGGGACCGAAGCTTTCAAGGGAAAGACACCGCAGACACAACTGCAAGCCCGGCAGCGCCATGGCACAGACTGCCTGTCCCGTTCCCAGTAAAGTAAGACATAATACGCAACGGATCATGTAACGATCCTGTTTGTATATATATATATACATATATATATATAGATAGATAGATAGATAGATAGATAGATAGATAGATACAAAAGATACTCATGCACACGCGCACGCATATGTCATGATATGTGTGAGTATGTCTGTGTGCGCCAACGGTACAGAACATGTATTTAAGTAGGTAGGCGCAGAGGCAGTCATAAGCGACCACGAAGGCACGTGTTTACAAGTATGTGTGAATCAAGGAATGTATCTGGAATGTATCCTACTTGTTTCGCCGAACACAATCAGCAACATTTACCGTACACATGGCACATCGTGCAGTAGAAGACACATGTTTCGGCATCAGCGCCGGCCAAATTGCGTAGGTGGGCAAAATGAACAGTTATGCAAACAGTTATGCACAAGCAAGTAGGCAAGCACCTCTCTCGCACTCTTTCTCTCGCTCTCTCTCTCTTTCTCTCTCCCTCCCTGTGTCTGTACATACACATAAGACACCAGGTATATATATATATATACATGATGACAGACTCATGTAGGTGGGTACACACACACACACAGATATTCGGGGCGCAGTACGCATGGAGTCGTGCAGACATATTCACGGCATGCTTGCAATGCCAAGTCTGAATTGCCTCCTAGCTTGCCACAAGAAGACTATCCGGAATATCAGGAAGCTGCACAGTGATACATGCGAACTCGTCGAGTCGATCGTCAGTGTCTGAGGACATGGGATGGGCTGCAGTGCCAGCCAGCCTCGGGGATCTGTGACAAGACGCCTCGAGGGCCTTTCCGCCTCGGCAGCACGGGAGCTTTTGCTTCGAGAGCTTCGACAAGGCTTAGCCGCGGGAACCTGCGAACCTATGAGGGCTTAGTGCCTCGCTCTTGCAGTTCCATGACGCATTGATGCATCCCTGTACGCATGCATACTCATAAAAATGCGAATGTATGCAGATACAGAGTCATGAGGCCGATGAGCCAGACTCCTCCGGAGAGCTGCCTCTTGCAGCCGTCCTACGACTTGATCAACCCTGCCCCGCGCTGGAAGTGCTTCTAAAAGCGGGGGCTTCCACGAGTGACTCGCACATTGCCGATGCACTCTTTGCACGACTACGGCTTCAACGACCGGAGAATAGAAAAACAGCTCAGGGCTGAGATCCTCATTCCATCACCTTCCGGGGCTGAAATCGCAGAGGGAATTGTTGAGGTCCAGCTTCTGTTGGAGAGTGGCCTGGATGCCAACTCGGCAGACAGCAGTGTGGCGCTCGGAGCTCGTAATTACTGTGTTTTTCACAAAAAACACGTGGCTTGCGAGAAGTTGGAGATCTAGAATCTAGAAGTGTGAGAATCGCCAGCCCTCTGTGCGAGACATCATCAAGCTATTGCTCTTCTTCGCTGGCATCGTTTCCTCTTTGCTTTGTCTCAGCGTATTCGAGCAGAAAGCCTGAGTTCCCCATCGTGTCGGGTTTGGTGCTGTTTTGATTGCAGGCCCTGGGTGCTCCCGTGACACTCTGCTCGTTGCTTCGGTCCGGGCAGGCATGCCAGCACACGTTGACATCTGCAAGTTTTGGAGTCAACCCCTACTGGTACTTGCAAGTCACTAAGTACTGAAGCTGACTACACAATGAACTGGGGAATTGCCGGGCCGTGAATTGCAGGAGAGGACGGGTTGGTGGAGGACTTCGCGTAGTCTGCATGGTCCATCGATCGTCAGACAAGCATTCAGCATTGATGCAGTCACCTTTTCGTGGCAACTTGATTCTTGCGTAGTTCTTCAGCAAGACATCCATTTCGTCCAGCCTTCTCCGCAATCGGAGGCAGGGCAGCTCCTTAGCTTTCTCGCAGTCGTTGTCTCCCTCGCCTCCTCGTCTCTGCCACCCTCTGTCACCTCTCGCTCTCTGCCTCCCTCTCCGTCTCCTTTCTCCCTCAGTCTTGCCCCGGAGAGGACATCTAGCCGCATCTAGTCTTTTGTGCAGGACCTTCTGGCTGCCGGGGCAGATGTAAATGGAGCAGATCAGCATGGCAATACAGCACTACACGCTGCGGCGCTCAGACGATGATTGCCCATGACCTTGACGTATCATGTAAGGATCCCATACCCGCCTGGATTCAGTTTTTCAGTTCATGTTGTGCTCCCTGAGCATGAAGTAGGCGTGATCTTTTTTTTGGTGCGTGTGCTGATTACAAAAAATGCTATGGCAGAGTCATCTCCCCAAAACCCGACAGTCCCATGCCCTGATGATCTCCGGCGTACTTAGCGTGCCGGCAGGTCGCTGCGGCCAAGGCCAGCGAGGCTGTCGCAGAGCGCCTTCTCCTAAGAGGCTCCGGGCAGTCCCACCTAAAGTCTCAGGCTTCAGGCTAGGAGATGCTTATAGGCCTTAGTAGGCCTTTCTTGCGTTTAGGGCTGAGGGTTTAGGGTTCATACTACTCAGGGGTTGAAGGTGGCCAAGATCTCCATAGGTTTTAGGCCCTTGGTTGGAGTAAGGGCAGAGGTGTAGCCTGCTTGTGCTGGGAAAACCGCACATGCACTCAGGCTTTCCTGGTCGTCCGTTTTCGATGTCTGCAGGTCCTATTCTTCAGCTCTGCCAGTGCTGTAAGAGTCTCTGAGGGGCCTCTCTTGTAGAACTGCTGCGTCTTGTGCTGCGCAGCTGCACATGCCCAACGATCGTGTGGCATGGTACTTGCAAACCATTGCGGCTGCACCCATTTATCAAGCCCCGAGGCAGTTGCCAATTCTTCCCGGACAACCCATGCAACTCCTGGAGACCGTCGGGAGATTCTTTGGAACCCGGCCATCCGCTTTCGGCAGGTGCAAGTGCTACGGTGAAAAACGCAGATGGGCATTCGGCAGTATTGTCGGCCCGCGCCGTCCTGAGCTGTCTTGCGGAGCCAAGTACCAACTGACGGCGTGACATGTAGTTTTGCCGTACAGACATCGGACTACGTCCCGATTCCGGCTACCCTAGTATATATGTGTGCGCACACGCATACTAGTGCATACGTACTAGTACGTACATACATTCTCTCTCAGACGCAGCGAGGTTCGTGGTTCGCCTAGCTAACATGACAGCAATGCCAGCATTGGATGCTGAACTGGCCTTTGGCGCTAGTGCAGCAGGCCGCATTGGCCGTCAGTGCATCCTGTTCGTGTACGTACATACATACATACCTACATACATGCATACATACATACACACATACACGCACACATGCATACACGCACACATGCATACATGCATACATACATACATACATACATACATACATACATACAAGCATACATACATAGGTAGATACATAGATAGATCTATGCACATATCTGTACAAATGTAACTGAGCTACAATATGCGCCTATGCAAGTTCTGGATTGATATGTGGTACCATAGGGAAGAAGCTGGGAGCCATGTCCAAGCATGTGGTGATGAGACAGCCCAGGCCTGGGGGCAATTGCGCCTTCACTGCGGCTTTCCGCAGCAGGAGGCATTCAACAGTGTTTGGGTCCATCTGAACTCACCTACCCATTGTTAACAGCAAGTGCAGCTTTTTTTTAGGGTGGACGCCTCAAGAAGGGCTTCCTTCCTGGCATTCTGCGGCGATGTTGTATCTAAAGCAGCAGCCTCGTGGGTCAAGGGGTTCTTGGGCATGAGCATGAGAGCACGGCAACCCTAAACCGTAAACCCCTAAACCCCTAAACCCTAAACCCCATGCCATTTCTGCATCCCCGAAGCCCCAAACTCCTGAGCCGCCTTCTGTCCGGCCTGCATGCGACCTGCAACTTGACTTTGGGCTGTCGGCCTCCCCCATGAGAGCCTGGAGGCGAGGCTTAACTTCCGGACTTGTGAGCTTTGCTCTGCTTCTGAAGAATATCGGAGCTATCTACCGCTGCCGAGGAGAATGCGCCCTGATATACCCTTGTGGGTCGTGCAGCTATCTAGCTTTGCCTCTGTATCAACTTCTCAGAGTCCGGAAAGCGTAGCTGTTGTCAGAGTTGAACCGACGCTTCCTGCATTCACCAGAAAGTTCTTGTGGCAAGACACAAGTTACGAAAGCTCCTTCCATGCAGGGAAGAGCTTTCGTTTGAGACCCAGCTTTGCCGATCAGCTAAAGTACAGGGGGTGGGGGGGGGGGGGGCACCCAGAAAAGGTCCCAAACCATCCTCCGTTTTCCAGCCAACCCCCAGGCCATGAGGTGTTTCAGGCGCGGGCCGCGCGGGCTCGTTTTGGGGGCTGCACGCGGGACTCCACGTCTTGTTGGAGAAACGGCACCCCGATGATGCTTATGATGCCTGGTGCCGGGGCGGGGGGTGGCGTGCAGCGGCAAGTGAAAAAGGAGTATCGCCCATCTCCGTCCTCTTCCGCCCCTTGCCCGCAAGTCTTTAATTTCACTGTGCTATTTGAGCAAAAGATGTCCGCTTTGGCTCAAGGCCGCTCTGGATGCCCAAGGTTTTGCGCATTCTCTTGACAAGCAAGACCGCCAAATGGTTCTTGTTGGCACATAGGCATATGAAGGCTTGGAGGTCTTTGACCAGCATGGCATGAGTTATTATACTGAAACACGAGGCAGCTTCACAGATCGTGTCGCGACCCTAGAACCTGGTTTAGTGTTGAATCAAACCTCTCCTGTGCACGATTGCACCACGATGATGTCCAGCAGCTTTTTTCTGCTCTGCCTGGCAACGGCAAATGCTGCCGAGACATGGCACCTTGTGGACATCGCACAGGTGGTTTGTCCGAAGCCAGTTAGCAGCAACCCAAATGCGCCGCCTTTTCCAGAGTACAACCTCGGCATCAATTACACCAGCTCGCTGCAAGTGGATGCCCCGCACATTGTCAGCTTCATCCGCGCGAGTCAGCAGGCTGTGAGCATCACTTTCAGCATCGAGGACAGCAACGGACAAGAGGTGGTTCCGGAGACCACTGTGCAGCTGCAGGAGTTGAGCGACACGGTGCCCAGCAGCTGCAAGTGCACCATGCCAACCCTTCCGGCCGAAGTGCAGGAAACTTATGGTCAGAATTACGGTGCACAGTGTGGAGCCTGGGATAATCCCAACTGTGGCGAACTTTGGGGCAACATGTCCTTAGGCGCCTCGGCCTAACTTAGACACGGCTGGGCCAGTCTGATGCAAAGCAGTAGGTCCGCAGCTGGTAAGATCTCAATGCTCGCTGCATGTCGTTGCGGTCTTCCCAGGCGCCTGGTGCTGTCGACCATGGTGCTATGCTACGAGTGACTGCCCGGATGCCTACTCCTCGCAGGCTCTTCCCGGACAGTTCTTCAGCTATGCCGCATGCAACACTTTTGCACCAGTATCACCGTGCACCTGGACTGCAGTCGCAGAGCAGAACGATCCCTGCAAGTGCAAGGACGCGTCCAGCCTCTTCAGCGCAGACATGCGATCCAAGTTTGCTGACAACTACGGCTCGACATGCGGCACTTGGGACATGCAAAACTGCGCAACAAACTATCGTCCAGACCAAGTTGACACGTGGTGCTGTGCCAGTTGGTGTTACGTCGACAAGGAATGTTCTTCAGCCATTCAGTCTCTGAATGCAGGAATGGAGGGTATCCTGTTCTGGTCAGATAATGTTTGTGATGACGATCCGGCTCTGGTCGTTCAATGCCCTTACAAGCCACAGCCAGTCGTGCCCGAAGGCGCCTGCCCCAGTGACAGAAGTTGATGGAAGTCGCAACATGCAGGGACCGATTAGCCTAGTAGCAAGCAGAAAGAAAGCCGGGCACAGAGCCCAAGCAGTCCAGTCAGGTGACGACAAAGTGACTGTTAAAGTGGTAGGACCGATGGTTAGCGATGGCTGGAAAAGTCTTGGTAGGGGGAGGCCAGGGGAAACTGGCCAGAGAGATAGCGAATTCGAGATGAGAGAATCGACAGATGACTTCAGAGTCCACAGGTGTCCAATGTGTCTGCGCTGGGTACCTTTGCCAAGCGTGTCATGTTGCTAAGGTGACACATCGTGCAATTGTCTTGGCATCACCATGGACTCGACCAATCTGGCCCGCGCTGGTCTCAATTCCACCTATGCCAACTACGGCCAGCAGTGTGACCCGCATGATGCGAATATATGTGAGATTACGTACCCCCGAGCGAGCCACGACATGTGGTGCTGCATGTCCTGGTGTTGGGTGGACGAAAGTTGTCCCACATCTCGCGCGTCCACGGTTTGGCCAGGGCACTTTTGGAGCACCGAGACGTGCACCATGAATGCAGACGTTGTATCCGGGTGCAAGTACAGTAGAGCATGCGAATGTCGGGGACAGTTGCCGGGAGGAGCTCTTCCGGATACCTTTGCTTCGAACTATGGAAGTTCTTGCAATGACTGGGACAGCAGCTCATGCAAAGCCACTTGGTACCACAACCCAGACGGGGGCTGGAACACCTCTGCAGACCACGAATGGTGCTGTGATGCCTGGTGCTATGTGGACGAGGCATGCCCGATCGCGAAGCAGTCATGGCTCGGCATCGGCTACTACTTCAGCTACGAAACGTGCAACTTGGACCACTACAAGTAGGCCAGATGGTCCGTAAACAAGCTCGATCGATAGACTGTTTCGCGCTCAGTGCATCCAACGCTTCAAGTAATCCCAGCTGCAAAGGCCTGCGGTTCAGAGAAGCTCGCGCGGGTAGTCATGTATTGCTTCAGTCAATAACCACAGTGCTTGCTTACTTTCTTGTTTAATGTGTCTTTCGCCTGGTACTTCTTGCGCTGGCCACGTCTGATCTTGCAGCTAGTACATGCTACAGATTGCTACAGCAAGCTTTATGATCCGAAGCTGTGGTCGCATGGCTCTCCTGAGGTGATGATCCTGCTGCCACTTACAACGAATCAGCTGACACTTGCGATGCAACCAATCGCCGGCTTCAAGCTCAAGATACAGGGCCAGGGGTGGACACGGAGAGTGCAGCCTTAGGGCGTCAACTGTCCGCTCGCCGCAGAGGGGGCAGCAGCTGGGGCAGCAGCAGCAGCAGCAGAGGCGGCTGGAGCCCGCGCAGACGCTCTCCGCCGGCCCCGCCGACGTCTCCAAGGAGGCGAGCACCATCAGCGCCTTCCGCCTGGAGCCCACGGCGCCGAGCTCCAGTTTCACCAAGGCGACGTGACGTTCGACGACGAGCTCCTCCACCTCCTGTGCCAGCTCCTGTCAACACCCGCCGCCGTACTACCAGCATCAACGGTCAAACCTACTCGGCAAGTCCTCGACGGCGTTTCGGTACCACTGGCGTGCCTTCACCGCCTGCGGTTCCATATGGCTATGCCAACCGGCCACAGCTCATGAACAACTACGGGGGCGTCTTGGTTGAATTGGCGGTTTTCTCAACACTAAGAACAGTTTTCTTGCTTGAGACGCTTGTGCGGAGAGAGACATGCTCCAGGCACGATGCCGTATCAGACTCCCTATGGCTATTCTGGTTACAATGCTGTGCCAGCACAGTCACGACCGAATGTTGCCATGTACGCTGTTGGTGGTGCAGTGGTGGGTGCTGGAGCAATGTATGCGTTCAATAGCATGTATGGCGACGCTTATGGCTACGAGGTTTTTCGACGGCGCCGAATAAACGACTTCCGGAACCCCGACTATTGCATTGTGACAGCTCCAGGAAGTCGCAATGGTGCCTTCATGGAATGCCAGAATTGCTATCGGCTGTATGGCCCAGAGCTCAGTCAGTTCGGTTACAAACTCTTCGATAGTGTCTCCAAGAGCCTCTGCCTTTTTTTTGCGAGGCTACTCCATGTGCCCGTCGGCAAGATCGTGCAACACGGCGGCTGGATGCAGCTACACGACGCCCCAGTCCTTCAACCGGGATGACCTGGCAGCCACGGGTTTTATCCCGAAGGACTTTCGGCCTCCGCTGAAAGTCCTTTTCAAGAACATCTCTGGGGCCGGGATCGACACTGATCCGATCACTGGAATCTGCCCACCGACCACGAGGGCAGAAGCAGATCTAGTGGAGAACTTCAACAAGACGATGTCATTCAAACCGGACCTTTTCCTGGTCCTCACACAACAGCAGACCCTTCGGTCGCCTGCCGCTTCAGGATGTGACAGCGACACAAGCACATCCTGCTCGACTACATGCTGGATTGCCCACAGCACTTGTGTGAATGGGGCGTGCATGTGTCAGCAAGGTTACTGCTGGAATGGCAACTCCTGTTCTTCCTCTGGCTCCATGGTCAGTTCAAGCTACCAGCTTCCAGAATGGTTTTCTGCCCTGCTTGCGCTGTACATCCTGTCTCACTGGCTATAGCCTGATGTAAAACTGATGTAAACTATAACGAGTCTCATATCAAGTCTATAACTCGTTAAGAGCGCGGAGCACCTCAGCCTGCGAGTCGAGGCAGAAGCTCTCGACTTAGCAGGCCCTTGTGGGGTCTTCGCCTGCTTCGCCAAAGGCCCTCTTCACTTTTCCTCACGTAGTGAGCTAACTGAGCAAACTTGTGAAGCACCCAAGACTTGCAGACGTGTTGAGTGCCGGAAACTGCTGACTAGTGTGGCACTGTGCAGCAGGCCTGCGCAGCTGTTGTCATTCGAGGTGGAAGCACGATTGCACTGCCTGATCAGGTGCTTCATGCGGCGCTTGACTTGCTTCCGTCTTGGTGAAGATTGCCTTGCGTGAGATCGAGTAGAAGAGCTGTCTCTTGACGCTTGTGAAGGTCTCAAGGTGAAAAAACTATTGTAGTTGATGTTGGTGTGCCCCGATTGATGGGGCTGTTGCCAGCCAGCTGCAGTAGCAGGGTACGCTCCGATTTAGCATCCGAGACTCAACTGCAGTTGTTGTTCGGATCATTTTCCGCCCAGAGCTTTCAAAAATAATTGCCTTGCCGAAGGACTGCGGTTTCAGTTTCTCGCTTTCTCCTGCGATGTTGTGCCTGTTGATTAGGCCGAACTGGATGCCGCACGAACGATATAGCAGTAAGGTTGTTATTACTGTTTCCGTTTCTATGTCTAATGCTGGTTTTATTACTACTATTTGTATTACAATTGCTAGTGCTTGTACTGTTACGACTATTACTATACTCGTACTGGTACTAGTACTATTGCAATTACTGTTTCTATTGCCACAACTATTATTGCTATTGTTATGCTTTTGCATTGGTGTTATTGACAATCCTATTGTCCGCAATTTTGGAAGCTGCGCATAAACCTGAACAGGCTGGGCCTCAAAAGAGGTCTTGTCAGCCAAGGCACGCTGTTGCCAAAGTTGCATTTGTCAGCATCCGATTTGCTAGCTCTGCAAGCCCTGTAAGTATCTGCCGTATCTCATTGAAGAGTTGCTGTCATAGCACGGCTCTTGGCACTTTCATGCTTTGCGCATGCTTGTGCTCCTAGAGTCTCCAAACTGAAGCCCCAAAATTAGACTAAAACAGGCCGGGTAAGAGCGAAGTCTTGCATCTGAAGCTTCGCATGGCAGAGGTTGCTGGAAAGCTGGACGCTCGCGTTTTGGACGTCGGGGAGGAGGTCTTCCAACGTCCGAGACTTCTGGAGCGTCGTGAGTTTTGTGCACGTCCGCCGACGTTAGCCGCGCTGTAGCTTCACTTAAGCCTCCAGGTAGAGCGCACGAAGCCAGTCCTTATCTGTCTCCGAAAGCAGAACGACTACTTTGGCGCCTTGCAGGTTTGGAGATGTCCAATTTCCAAAGAGTGCTGGACGGGGCGCCTTGCCTGTGTTTTGCCGTTGCTCCTGATTCTCACCATTACCACGAAAAGTCGTCTCCACAAGGTCTGCTTCTCCTCCAACAGCACCAAGGAACCACCAGGCGCACTCGAGGTTCCGGGATGAGGAGATTCCAGAACGGTGGGAAGCAAAGTTTCAAGGATTCTCGAATGGACTGCAGAATGTCAGGTGGCAGCGATGTTGGCGCAAGCAGCTGGAGATGCGTGCCCTTCGAAACCATTACCTTCGTTGTTTGTGGATAGCGGCACACCACGACGCCCTCTTCTTGGCCTGCCCAGCGTGAGAGTCAACTTGCCAGCCGGACCAAGCTCCGACTGGACCTCAGTTCTCGGTGCGACATCATGCAAGAGCTCCAGTGGCGTAAGATGGCTTAAGCTTGTGAAGTCCGTCTGCGTTCGCGCCCCGATTCTTGGAGGCTGAGGAGAAACTGAATTCTTTCTGTGCCCAAGGAGGCAACATGCAGACTGCAAGTGATCCCTCTCTTCCGGCGAGGTACAGCCTGGCAGATGCCGTCGAAGGGGCGTGGCTCGCTGGGCAGGCGCATGTCGAAGAACCTTGACTTTGGATGCTCATCTTCTGCTTCTCATCGCGGGCAGTGCTGATGCAGTCGACGTCATGATTTTCCAACATGGGAAGCAGCGAGAATGGCCTTCCGAATCTCTTGGCGTGCAGAAGCATCTGCCAAGCTCGCTTGCAGCCATGTTGGCTTGTAGGCTTGTAGGCCAGTGGCATAAACATGGGCAGCCATGCGAGGCGTGTGATGGACAAAATCAACATGTCGGTCGATAGTAAGGTTCTCAAGATGCCAGCCGCAAGAACAGAACAACTCAGCAGCTGCTTCGATGAGTGGACCCCTTCAGAAGCAAATTTTCGGTTACTGCCTAGACAGGTTGTCTGTCAGATGTCGATGTCGTTGACTTCAGATCTGCTGCGCAGCGAGAAGTCTGATCTGTCACGACAGAAATCAACAAGGGAGCGATTCCTGACTCAACACGACTCGGGACTCGCAGCGATTGCGACTGAGCAGGTTTGAAGGGCACTGCAGCTGGCACTAGCTAAGGATCATGGCGGCAAGCTCTTGAAGAGAATATCCCCATTCTGTACTGGCTTCCTCGCTACCCTCTGGAGAACTTGCAGCCGGACTTTGCTGGTTCGATCACGCTGGGATGCATTCTCATAGGCACGAATGCACGCCAGCGTCATGGATGCTCACATTTATATGTCCTCAACGCTAAAGTTGCACCCACTTCCATGTGTTTGGATCACTGGAGGCCAATCTCTGGCACATGCAAACTTGCGCTTCTCTGAGATGCCATGATGTGCTTGCACTATCCTATTCATGGGTCTGGTGCTGCAAGCCTTAGCAAGGAGGCATTCCCTGACTTTCTGTGTTTCTCAGGTGCATGGTGAACTTGATCAATGGCCCTTACAGACTCTCAGCTGCAAGGACATGTCTGCGAAATTCTGCGAAAGAGCAGGCTCTAGTCTGCCCTCGCTCTGCTCTCTGCGAGGCTGCATGCTTCCGCCAATCGTTTACGCCTTCTTCGGCACCTGCCTGGCACCTGGCGCTTTTGAGCTCGTCCTTCAGCTCAGCCTGCCACCTGGCGTGTCTTAAGGTGTGCATGCCTCTGTGGGCACTGGCGGACTGGTGAGCCTGTTGACCGGCGAGGTGGAGCGTGGGAATCGGATCAGTACCTGCGCTTAGGGTTCATGCCCTTTTAGGCATTCGACCGGCTGCTTCGAACCCCCATACAAGTAGGAACCCTGGCTAATAGCCACCTTCAAAGACCGGATCTCCCCAAATTCGAAGCTCCGGAGGTCTTGGCACCACTGGGGGACCTCGAGGAGCGCACGAAAGCCGCTGCAATGCTCACTGCCATGGTCGGTGAGGGGCCCAAAATTCGAATTGAAAGGAAGTCATTGCTGCTACTGCTGCTACAGCTGCTGCTGCGACCACAGGAACAAAGGTTAGCCGATTCATTCTGAGTTTCCCGCGCGGAGGGGTGTTCTTCTTGGTTCAAGCCCCTCGACGAAAGCGGAGCCAGAAATCGCAGACTTCGGTGACGGGGGAAAGCTTCGAGTCGAGTGTTGCCAGGGTCAGACTCCAGCCATGGCGCAGTGTGCAATTTGCCTGGACGTTTGCAGCGGTGCCGTGTCAAGCTTGACTTGTGGGCATCGCTTGTCCGACACTCAGTTTCTCACAGTGACATGAGAATCCCAGGGACTCAGCAGCTCTTCACACATCTCGTGGGCGTAGTCCAAGGCATAAAGCCTGCCTGCTTGAGCTGCGTCGGCATGGCGTGAATGAGTCATGCCCGCTTTGCCGGCCACCCGGCGACCGATGATGTCTAGAATCTAGTGATGACCTTCGGCTGGCTGATCTGTTATCAAAAAGCTAATATGTGATTGACTACCGTGTGAGACAGCTTTTGTCCGGCACGATGTGCAGAGATAGCATGTCGCAACATCCCGGTACGGTCCCAAGCCGGCAAGACTGATGCAAGGAAAACTTCGCCGGAGCTACGCAGCTTGCAGAACCTGATCGTCGATGCAGCTGTGCTCCTGGTTCGTGCTGGCTGGCAGCACTGGCATTGACATGCCCTCAACAAGCTGCAAAACTTCTAGGTGAACAAAGCACACCTACCGCCTGGCTAGATTCGTTTTCATGGGGACTTCTTCAACGTGCAGGTTGCCTACGGTGAAGGTAGGCTCAACTGCATCGCGTGCCCAGGCAGAGCACTGCAATGTTGCCGGAGACTGTGAGAAAAGCCGATCTGCTCTCTGTGATGCTGAAGCTCTTCTGCGGGAGGCTTCTGGTATTCGGTTTCAAGCTCAAACGAGGGGTTATGCCATGTTATGGCGGAATCCGAGCCGAGTCTTGTCTGAGAGGGGCTCTTGCGACTCCAGGCGCACGACCTGGAGAGCAATCTCACGACTATGTCCAGACTTGCCGCGTGCATTTTGGGGCAGCAGATGTACCTTGCCTGAACTTGTTTTCCCTGCGATGCGTGGGCTGTTGGCATCGGCTCAGGGTTCCGCTCTTCGGTTCCCTTAAGCCCGAGGGCACTTTGTCCCGAGCGCTGCGAGCATGCTGCTTGCCGCGCCCGGCTGCAGGAGGCCCGCAGTCATTTCGGCCTGTCGAGTCAAGGCCAATCCAACTCGTGCACTGAACTTCTTGGTAGACTGCTTTAAAGCCGATGAAATTGACTTTGAGTGGCACGGTGTCCTTATGTCTTTGCATCTGTGCCCTCTGACCCTGGGACAGCACTGCATAGCGCTTGTGGGCTGCAAGAAAGGCCTTGGGCTTGGCGCAGCGAGCCGCCGCGGCGGCCCAGCAAGAGGGCAATGACGTTGCTGCAGGTCCCCACGGAAAGGTGCTGCTGTAAGGGTGCCAGTGGCTCGGCGAGCTCCAAGCGGAGCCAAGGAGCCGCAAAGCCTGAGCACTGAAGAGTGAATGCCACAGACCCGCAAGCCCCAACTAATTTCGAAGCCCGATACTCAATGAAGAAGTCCTGAACTCCTGCATCCTGAAAGATCTTAGAGCTCGAACTCTGTACTTCCGGATCCCAGCTCCTTGTTTGCAGGCGAGGCCTTCCTGTGTGCTGCACAGCTTTTTGAGATGCTGGGGGAGACCGAGGCCAGCTGAGCTGTCCAGCTGAAGTTGATGATTCAGGGTTTAGGGAGGGTTTAGGGTTTAAGGTTCAGGGTTTAGGGTTTAGACTGGTATCTCCAGCCCTCTTCCATCCTCTTCAGCCTTCGTGAACACGCAGCACGACAAGAAACGGGCCAAGGTCCAAACTCACCCGCACCACCGCACAGAGCTGCTGCTCTTTTCAAGCTCCGTTCGGAGCATTGGCCCAAAGCCCCAGGTCCGTATTTGCTTGTTTTTTTTTTTTTTTTTT